CATATGGCCACTTCCCTGACGACACTAGAAAATCAAACACCCCTCCCCCAGGTACACACATACCGTCAGCATCATACATTATTATTACATTCACACTTTCACACCCAGGCCACGGGACAGCCTCCCACCACCATGCCATTACAGAGGAATAGCTGTAGACACACGCAATCATCCTGTTATAGAAAACACATCCCCTTGCGTTCTCACTGACACACACATCCTTTACACAGGCAAATCCAGTTGTAAAACAGACCCAGACTGACCCCTCCCCCCCACAGCCATCTTACCAATAGACATGCCTCTTGTTTGCAGTTGTGTCCCAACAGCCTAACACAGTTACTTAATGGACACTCGGTTACATGTTTGGGTAAATTTTTAAAGTTATCCCTTAAAGACAAACACACCATGCTCACTGTCATACACATCCAGCTTTCCCTCATGGACACACAGTCCCCCCCCCCCCCCCACACACACAAACAAAGTAATTAAGTTACCACACACACCCCTAAGCTAAAGGACTACCCCTGGCCCAGGGGTCTCCCCCAGAGGGGGAAGGAAGCAATGGGGGATCCAAAGGGGCTTCCCCTGTGGCTGAGCCCTCCCTTTTCTCCCCCACCCCCCACTCTCCAGTCTCAGCCTCAGCTGCTCCTCTTTTAATTGGAAGCACTTCTTTATTCTGCAGGCGGGTGTGCAGGGGGCTGGGAGGGTTGGTGCTGGAAGCGGGTGGGGGATGTTACCAGGTGGCCTCAGAGCTGGAACTCACCTAGGGGTGTGCAAAGATACTCCTGCAAGGCAAGGACCACAGCTGTAATGAATGGAGTCAGAAAAACAGCATTTGAGTCCAAGTCTGTCCCCGTTCAGTGTCCAGTGCCTTGGTTTTTTCATCTGTAAAACGGAGACAACAAAAGCCGCATCACAGGACATTTGGGGGATGGGCTGAGAAGGTACCCGGGACCCCACTGGTTCTTGGTGAGTCCTGCCTCCTTTCCCTCCCTCCTCTTTCCTAACAGGGCTCCTCTGCAAGGCACGGAACACAAGCTGCATGGAAGATAAGCTCTGAGTCTCCTCCTTTTCAGAAAACTTTCTAACCTGCAGCACTGTGCTCAAGAAACACTGCTTTGGGGAGTGCCAGGGGCCAAACCCAACCAATCCTAGCACTCTCGGCTCATCTTCCTAGCAGAGAAGGGACATATTGGATCACCCTGCCCTCAGCCTATCCCATTGGAAAACAAAGGCCAAGGTCAACCTGGACTCAGAGACCCCAGCAAGGGGGGGGGGGGTCAGCAGCTCAGAACTAGGTTGGGATAAAAGTTGCCTCTGATAAGTAGGAGAGGTGGGAGGGACCTTCAGAAGAAACCAGTCAGGTAGCAGTGAGGCAGAGAAAGGCAGGAAGTCTCTGGGTGTTGAATTTGGTGAGAACAGCATCCTGACAGCCTTAGTGGACCCCCGAGGCGGGGTGACTTCTGCCAATCTTAGACTAGGCCAGCAAGGGTGAGGTCTCCTCCCAGCCACCCTGGACAACTGGTGACAGAAGGGAGGCAGCGTTCAAGAGGTAAGTGAGGCAGATGCCCAAAGGTTGGATCAGGCAGGATTGGAAAGCCATGGGGCTGGAAAGGTGCATCAGGAGGGGGAGAGGGAGGATGGGGAGAGCGTTTAGGAACACTCAAAGGGTTTCTAGCATGGGCCAGAAGGTAGCAAAGAGAAGTTGTTTTGAGGTAACCTAGAAAGATAGGATTTTAATTGCATTAGGCAGAACTGTGGTTAGACACCAATGTGGCATCTTGACTAAAAGGAGAAAGACAGAGCGAGGCAATGGGACCCAACCTCAAAGGATGCTGAAGGGTCTCTCCCCACAGTTTTCACTCTGCAGGAAAGGAGTTCAGAGTTTAGGATCCCAGCTCAGTCCTCTTCTGTCTGTGTGGCTTTGGGCAACGTCATTCATCTCTCTGAGTCTGTTTTTATTTTCTTAAAATTAGATATAATTCATGTAACATAATTCCAACCCTTTAAATGGTACAACTCAGTGCTTTTAGTATATTCACAAAGTTGTGCAACCATAACCATCTAACGCCCGAATATTTTCAACTCCCAACCTCCCTCCCCCTCCAGCTCCTGGAAACCACTAATTTATTTTCTGTCTCTATAGATTTGCCTATTCTGGATGGCTCCTATAAATACACGTATATAATATGTGGCCTTTTGTGCCTGGCTTCCTTCACTTAGCACAGTGTTTTCTAGGTCCTTCCATGTTGTAGCAGGAGCCAGGATGTCCCTTTCATTTCTTTTTATGGCTGAGTAAAAAGTCAATTGTACAGAGATACCTCATTTTATTTACCCATTCATCAACATTGCTTTATGAATAATACTATTCATTATGAAAAAATACTCTTAGGAAGATTCATTTTTCTTAATAATTTAAAAATGGGGGATGTTTCTATGAACTTCACAGGGTTGTGTGCGCCTTAAATGAGACCAGTGTGGTGCGGTGCCTGGCACATAGTTGTTTCTCAGTAAAACGCTTGTGTCAATTTCTTCTTCAGTTCTTCCAACACAAGAAGCAGGAAAGAGACATATTCAGGTTCAAACAACTTCCAAAGACAGTGATGGAGCCTCCTGGTTGAGGTGTAGTACTGGAATTAGGGTGGGTGGAGGGGAGAGAACTGTTAAGGAGTAGAACTCTCTCCTCATGTGTCTGTTTAGTGTTGCAAACAAAAACATCTGGCTTTCTATTGAGTGGACCCCTGTCCACTTGCCTGGAGCCCAGATGAGGTATTCCTTATGGAGATGCTGCTCCAGCCCGCAGCCAGGTGTTCAGGGTAACCCATGGAAGCAAGTAGAATCCAGCTCCCCCATCTTCTCAAGCCACTTAGCCTTGGTTCCTTTGCCTCTGTAAAATAGGGCTGGTACTCATCTCAAAGAGTTAGTGTAGAGTTTATAGTTTTCTCCATAACACTTATTATCCTCTGGCTTATTGTAGTTGCTTCTTTTTATTTTATTTATCTATTCATTTTTAAATATATTTTATTGATTTTTTTTACAGAGAGGAAGGGAGATAGTTAGAAACATTGATGAGTCATCGATCAGCTGCCTCTTGCACGCCCCCTACAGGGGATGTGCCTGCCGGCAACCAAGGTACATGCCCTTGAATCCAACCCGGGGACCCCTCAGTCCGCAGGCCAATGCTCTATCCACTGAGCCAAACCGGTTTCGGCTGTATTTGCTTCTTTATATCCCCTCTATGGAATGCAAGCTCCATGAGGGCAGATACTGTTCTGTTTACTGCTCTTTTCTCAATGCCAAGAACCATGCCTGACACATAGTATGTGCTCAAAAAATTTGTTGAATAAGGAGGTTCTTTCATTCATTATTCACTCAAAATGAATATTTTTTGTGGGTTGGGGCTATACTTGGGGGGGGGGAGACAAAGATCAGTAAGCAATTTTTTTTGCCTCCAAGGAGATCTCTTCAAGTGGAAGTAATAAGCCAAAGCAAATATTATGTTGTGATAAGACTTGATAAGTAGAATGTGTGCTTTCACATTCTAGCACCTTGCCTGGTAGAGACACCTCTCTCTGAAGGCCTGTTGAATCTAGACTAGACCAGAAATAGATCCCATGTTAGCCAACCTATGCCTTTCCCTAATGTTGGCTTCTGGGAGGGATCAAACATTTCCCTGCTGGAGAGAGGAAAGGGGAAGCAGAGAAGGGAGTTTCCGCCTCTCCTGGGCTCTAAGCCAGTCAGCCACAGGCACCACTCTGCAAAGGCCTAAATCTGTCCTGGGTGCACTTCCCTCATCTCGGTCCCACCATCCCCAGGCCCTGCTAAGACCCTAGATTCCAAAAATAAGAAAAGAACTCTTCCCCTTTACCACAGTCGGAAGGTTTCTTGCTTGAAATTGCCTCTCCTGGCCTAGTTGCCAGGTGAAACAATCCAACTGAATTCATCCACTCGTTGTGGGCGCTGCTCCCTGAGGCATCTGTGTATTCTAAAGGAAAGGGGTGTCTTGAAGCAGAGGCACCATGGCAACAGGCCTCAAGCTGACTCCCTCGTCTGTGCTTGTCTTTCAGGAAGTCTCCCCTTCCTCAGTTTCCTTAATCAGGCTACGTTGGGTGGTGGTTGATTTTTTTCCCTTCTTCTTCAACATATAGCCAAGAGTTCATAGGCCCGAGTTTCAAAGCAGGCCCAGCCTGCACTCACTCTCCCTGACTCAGGGACCTGGCTCCATACCTGGGGGGATCAGACAGTCTACTGTCCAACAAGCTGGACTCGAAGTTTGGTGTAAATACTCTGGTTGGTGGATAGGTGTTTCCCAGGTGAGCCCCTGGGAGGACTCGCCAGCAGCGAAGGGACACCTCCTCCCCAGAGGCCTGTGGCTGGACCCCTTCGGCCCAACTCAAACTTAGGGGGAGCGGCTCCTGCCTGCCTGGGAAGAGGGCTCTGACCTCCACCTCCTGCGCTCCTTCTGTCTGTCAGTCCCTGGGAACGGCCACCTCCTGCTCTTTTTCTTTCTCCTTTTAAGTCTCTGTTTCCCCTCTTCCTGAACTACTTCTCTGAGCCACAGGCTCCGTCCTCCTCCGGTCTCTGGCTCCGGCATCTGTCTGGGCTCCCGGCCTCCCTCTCCCGGCCTCCGCCCCTCCCCCGCGCTGTCATTCACCCCGCTCCTCTCCGCTCACAGCCAATGGAGAGACCGGGCCGGAGCGGCTAGGCTCCCTCGCACCGGGCTTTTTCGCCCGGTGATTGATGTCCCAGAGTCAACAGCGAGCGAGCAGCCGGAGAGGGGAAGGAGCCGCCGGAGAGGAGTAGGATACGGCGCCCCCTCTCTCCTCCCCTCCCCCCCACTTTAGCCTCGTGCGGACTTCGCCTCCGAGTCTCGGCGCGGCCAGGAAGCGCTCCTGCTCCCGCGCCCCTGCGCGCTGCACCCGGAGCGGAAAGCAGCGAGTCCCGCCGCCCGGGCCCCCCGCCCCTCTCCCCGCGGGGCCGGGGCCGGGGCGGGGGTCGGCATGGAGCACCTGGGGCCGCACCACCTCCACCCGGGCCACGCGGAGCCCATCAGCTTCGGCATCGACCAGATCCTCAACAGCCCGGACCAGGGCGGCTGCCTGGGGCCGAACTCGCGCCTGCAGGACGGGGACTACGGCCTCGGCTGTTTGGTCGGAGGCGCCTACGCTTACGGCGGCGGCGGCGCGGGACCGGTGGCCGGGGCGGCGGCCGCGAACGCGGGGGCCTACGGCGCGGGCGGCCCGAGCGGCCCCGGGGGCCCGGCGGGCGGCGGGGGCGGCGCCTGCAGCATGGGCCCGCTGGCCGGCGGCTCCTACAGCGTGAACATGGCCTTGGCGGGCGGCCCGGCCCCGGGCGGCGGCGGCGGCGGCGGGGCGCTGAGCGCGGCGGGCGTGATCCGGGTGCCCGCGCACAGACCGCTCGCTGGCGCGGTGGCCCACCCGCAGCCTCTGGCCACCGGCTTGCCCACGGTGCCCTCCGTGCCCGCCGTGCCAGGCGTCAACAACCTCACCGGCCTCACCTTCCCCTGGATGGAGAGCAACCGCAGATACACAAAGGACAGGTTCACAGGTGAGTCCGGGGCGCCGCGGCCCGGGCTCTGCGCCCTCCCTGCTAGGGGCTCCCCGCTGCCCCCGTGGCCTGCCCGGGCGATCGGGCGCTCAGCAACTCTGGGTGCTTCCGCCGAGTTTAGCCGCTGCCACCTTTCTAGGCTCCAGGAATCGCCATGCTGGAGGAGTTCCTCCCAGCCTGGGCCCGCGGTGTCTCCCCCGAAGTCCCCAGCTCCAGAAGCTCCCCCAGATCCCATCCCAGACCCCCTCCCGGGCCCGGCCAGAGGGAGGTAAGGGGAACGCAGCTTCGGGACACATTCCGCCCGCCTCTGGGGGGCCCGGATCTCAGAGAAGGGGCGCGATGTGAACAGACTGTTTCTCCCGTCCTGGCCGACGTTCTTTTGGGAGGCGGTGAGCCCCAGAACCAAACGCCAGGAAAGAACAGGTTCCCCACCTCCGCGCCCCCCCCCCCCACACACACTCCAAGTTCAGTGCCTGCTGCGCTGCGGGCCAGCGGAGGCCTCGAGCCCGAGCGAAGCAGCCCGGCCAGCCCGGCCGCGGGCCTTTCTTCCCGAGCTACGGGCTCCGTCCGGGTCGGCGGCGGCGTGGGGCTGAGCCGCCCGCTTCAATTTCGTTCTGTCCGGGCTCGGCCTCCTCCTCCGCCTCCTCCCCTGGCCCGCGGGCGTAAATAACGCACCGGCCGGGCCCAGGGTCGATCGGCCGCCCAAGGACGACTCCCGGGACGATTGCGCATTCGGCAGCGCCGGCTGCCGTCCTCCCCGCCGCCCCCCCCCACCCCGCGTTAGTCCCGGTTCCCTGCGCTCCCGCTTCCGCTGCCGGCGCTTGGCGCGGGCCCTTACCCCGGCTTCCCTTCCCGCTTCCTTTGGCATCCCCTGGCCCTGAGTCTTAGCTTCCCGCTGAGCCAGGCCCCCACGCCCGCTGGGAAGCAGCGAAGCAGCCACGAGTTGACTCTGGGTTCCGGACAGGCCTTAGGAGCGGGAGAAGGAGGCACAGGCCAGGGCTCCAGCGGGGTCTGGGCTCCAGCGCCCAACTGTGAAAGGGGTTAGGCAGCTTAGAGCTAGACCCTGGACTAGGAGACCCTGGGGCCCCCCATATCCCCCGGATCCTGTTCCAACCTTGGCTCAGACTCTAGGTCTGTGGCAAAAGTTTTTTGTTTTTTTTGGGGGGGGGGCGGGGGAGTAGAGGGAATTCGTAGACAGAACAGCCACTCCACTTTGGGGCTCTAGGAAGGGCCCTGTACTCGAGGGGCTCCACTGCCCCAACCTAAGTTCTCTAAGGCCTGGAGGAGAGGGAAGGACTCTGAGGGAAGCCCTGGCCGGGAACCCACTAAGCCTGGGTCTGGTGGAAGGAACTTCACATAGGCCTACCTAGGGGAGGCACGGCGCACCTACTCTCCACTCAGGCCTGAGAAGGTTCTGAGGGAGTGTATGACTGGCCCTGTGTTACCTAGTGCTGCCTGTGTCCTGTGTGTGTCTGCCCGAGTGCCTGCGCCTGTTTGCTGGCTTGTTTGGATGTATAGATCTACAGTTTGCCACTATAATTTGTGTGTGATGTGTCTGTGTACATCGCTGTGTGACGGAGGCTTAGGTCAGGACCAGGCAGGGTCCAGCCCCTCACTACTGGGCAGCTTCTCGGAGGCTGGAGGCCTGGGGCAGTGGAAGCTGAGGGGGGCTCTGGAGGGCTGCCATCCTTTGCTCGGCTCAGGGAGACTGGGGAGGTGGCTGAGGTTCAGTGTCTGGTTGAGCACGTGGAAGCCCAGGACTAGGGAGGCCTCCGCAGGGGCCGCAGAGGCTGGCTGCAGCTTGGCGGCGGGAGGGGGCCCTTTCCCGCCCCGGCTTGGAGCTTAAGGGCTGGAGGGGGAGGATCGAAGTCCTGATCGCGGGGTCTAGCAGCTGTGCTCGCTGTGTCGCGGGGTGTTGGGCCTGGGACGCCTCCTGACGCTCTGCCGCTTGCCTCTGCCGTCTGTCTGTCTGTCTCCCGCTCCAGTGGCCCTCTCACCCTTCACTATAACACGCCGTATAGGTCACCCCTATCAGAACCGGACGCCCCCCAAGAAGAAGAAGCCGCGCACGTCCTTCACGCGCCTGCAGATCTGCGAGCTGGAGAAGCGCTTCCACCGCCAGAAGTACCTGGCCTCCGCCGAGCGCGCCGCGCTGGCCAAGGCGCTCAAGATGACGGACGCCCAGGTCAAAACCTGGTTCCAGAACCGCCGCACCAAGTGGAGGTGAGCGCGGCGGGCGGCGGGCGCGGCTGCTCCGGCTCCGGCTCTGGGCCTCCGGGGCGCGCACGCTTCCTCCGCGGCCGGTTTCCGACGTTTGGAGGAGCTGGCAGCTCCGGGGAGTGGGAGGCAGGCGCTGCCAGTTGACCTGAGATGAGGAGGCTGGAGAGCCCAGGCTGTTGATCAGAGGCTTCCTAGCCTTGTGGTCGCCTTTGTAAACGCGGCTGATCTGGGCCGCTGCTGGAGGAAACAGCAGGTTAGAGCAGTCTACGCAGTCTGGGTCTTCTGATCAGTGAGTCCTATGGGGCTTGCTGTTTGCGCAAACTTGCACTTACAGGGACACCCAGTTCCTGCGCGCCAGCCGGGCTCCCTGCAGAGCGCCGGGGCCCCAGCCCTCCGCCCGGGCTCTGCCTACTCCCTCCTCCGCCAACCCCATCCTCCCCGCCACGGGCTCCCCACGCTGGCAGGGGAAAATCAATCCGCGCCGGCTGTAGCGGGATTTTCAATGGTCCCACAGAACCCGGGATCAATGAGGAGCAGATGGTTGTGTGTGTGTGTGTGTGTGTGTGTGTGTGTGTGTGTGTGTGTGTGTGTGAGAGAGAGAGAGAGAGAGAGAGAGAGAGAGAGAGAGAGAGAGAGAGAGAGAGATTACCCGTCTCACATCACACATCCACTATACTAATTTCCCCCCTTTATACACACACCTTGACCTCTGTCCCTCTCTGTCTCTCTCTCTTCCTCCCTCCCTCCTCCTCTCTCTTGTGTTCCGCTGACTTCGGGGCAGCCTTATTCTCCGCTCACCCAGCGCTCTCTCCGTTGGTCCCTCCTGCACCCCTGCACCCCAGCCCGCACACTCGGTTCCCCGCGGCCTGGCCTTTCCCGCCAGCTCAGGCCTCAGAGGGAGCCGGGAGTCTGGGGCAGGCGGCGGCGCCGGGCCGGGCGGGCCTGGGGCCCGAGGAAGGAATTGGAGTTTCCTCTTTTGCTGAATGAAGGCGAGGAATCTGCTCGGGATTCCGCCCGCGGTGGCCACAAAGGAAGCCACTGCCCCGCGAGTCTGCTGCCCTCCCCTCCCCTCCCCACATTCCTGCCCCTGGGGCAGGGGGGAACCTCTGGAAAGCTAGTTGAAGAGGGGGCGAGGCCGGCTGGGTAGGGGTACACCGGCCTTCTCAGGGTGTAGCCGAGGGGAGGGAGGGAGTCAGGCAAGACCTTCCCAGGTGGGGGAGAGAGAAACTAAAATGCAAAAAAGGGGGGGCAAGCTAGATACCCCCCCCTCCTGCAGAAAAGGAAACCAGGCAGCCTAAGGAAGTCTTAGGTACGAAACAGCAAAGCAGTGGATGAGAAAAACCTCCATTTTCGTTGCAAACAAATTCCCTTCATCTTGAGAAAGCCAACGGGGCAGGGGCGGGGGTGAAAGAAAACAAGAAATCCAGACAAAAGCCCGGAGGAAGAGAAACAGCCCGGCAGTTTGAAAGCGCAGGAGAGAAGGGTAAGAGAAGAGCCTGAGACTCAGTGAAAAGCAAGAAGGGGAGCGGGTGGGAGGCCGCCGCCGCGGGGAGAGGCCTGGCTGGCCTCGGCGGCTTCATCGATCGCCTACAAATTGCTTCTGGAGGCCCCGGGGACCCCCATTAGGTCCGTCCACCTTAGAGACAGACGTTTGATCTCAGTTGACGGGGCGGAGGGGAGGCATTAAATGGAGTGAGTCATCGCCTCCCTGGACGCCTTGGAGGAAGCGGCTGGCCCGGCGGCAGTCCCGGCAGACACGGGGCCGGGGCACAGGGCTCGGAGCAGGAGGTCCGAGGCCCGGAGGCGTCCGCAGAGAAAGGGGGGAAGGGGGAAGAGAGGCCGGGCAGGACAGCTCGCACCCACAGCCCTTGCCTCCGTCCTGGGCTGGTGGGGAAGGTGCGGCCCCTCAGGATCAGGCCTGGAGTGTCTGGCCTTCCTGGGGTGTGTGTGTGGGGGGGGGGGAGGCAAGATGCCATTTTATTCTTGGCTGAGCCCTTCCAGGCGGCTGTGGGCGCTGCGCGGGGACAAGGAGCCCCAGCTCCTTGCCTAGCGGACTTTCCCGCAGCTTCCCGGATGTAGCTCGGCTCCATCTATTTTTGGGGTTACCAGTCTTTGTCGGATCTTGGAGATCAGGGGATGTTGGAGGGGCCCACGCTGAGCCCGGTGCTGCCAAGGCAGCAGTGCCCAGGCGGGCACGCAGGCTCTCCCAGGATCGCGCGGCAGCGTGGGTAACGCTTGTCCCCCGCAGGCGGCAGACGGCGGAGGAGCGCGAGGCCGAGAGGCAGCAGGCGAACCGCATCCTCCTGCAGCTGCAGCAGGAGGCCTTCCAGAAGAGCCTGGCGCAGCCGCTGCCCGCCGACCCGCTCTGCGTGCACAACTCCTCGCTCTTCGCCCTGCAGAACCTGCAGCCCTGGTCGGACGACACCACCAAGATCACCAGCGTCACGTCCGTGGCTTCGGCCTGCGAGTGAGCCTGCCCAGCCCCCACCCCTGGGGCCCGGGCCCAGCCAAGGGGGTCAGCGCGGAGGCCTGAGAGCCAGGACTCTCTCCCGCCCTACCGGCCTCCTCCGCGCCCCTCCACAGGGGCCCCCTGCTCGTGGAAACTGCGCTTTCTTTCGTGGGAAAGAAGAAGAGAGTGCAGAGGACAGGGACCCTGGGCCCACTCCCGGACTCCCACGCAGTCCTGCGCCCCCTAAGACTGTTCAGAGTCGCCTCCGTTTGCATCTATTTTATTTTCATCTGATTTTTAACGTGGAACTGAGACAGAAGAAGAGTTTCCGGGGACCCCAGAGGACAGCATGGGCTGTCATTGGAACCTTCTCTCTGTATCCCACTCCTCATCACATACCATCACATAGGGGCCCACACAGAGATGGTTCCACCGTCCTTCTTGGTGTCCCCCCAGATCACACACAGGGGGCCTATGGCAGAATGTGTGTCACGCACACAGGGCCACGGCCTTACCTTAGACTCTCACTATCTGCCCCAGGCCAGGAGTGACCTAGACTCACTCTGAACAGCAGGCTGTGACCACACTGTGGTACACTGTTCCATACGCAGCCTCGGTCACAGTGTCACTCGGCCTGCCAGACCTCCATCGCACACCCAAGCCCCACCCAGGTACGCACAGGCAGGTTTCCACACAGATCCCATTCATAGGGGGGGGTTAAGTTATGCACTTATAAGGTGTTTTCTGTGTAACCATTTTATAAAGTGCTTGTGTAATTTATGTGAAAAAAATAATAAAACCCTCCGGACCGGAGTTAGGGCTGCCTGCTCCTTGCTGAGCCCACATCCTGCAGCTACTTGGGATTGGTGTTATCGGGGCGACTCTGGAGCCTGAGCTGGAGGGACATCTGGGGGCCAGCACCTGCAGGCTCCGGAGAGAGGAAAGAAGAAGAGGGACAAACAGAGAGAAGGCAGAGCTGAGGTGAGGAGGGAGAGAAAGGCTCTCCTGGGACAGCGAGTGCTCAGGAGGATATAGTGTCTTGGAGTGCGAGAGTTGTGTGCGTGTGCATTCTGAACGGTGTGGGCAATCAGAGTATTACTGATTTGAATAGTGTGCAATTGTGTTTGCAATTATTTTATTTTGATTTGTTGAGTTTGCAACTATTGTGTGTGCTTCTTTCTGCTTAAGTTGCAAATTGAAACTATCAGATACTCAAATGTGTGTGTGTAACTATGTTTAAATGGAGCTGAGCTTTGAGAGATAATTGTATGATTACCCACCGGTATTTGTGATTGTGTATGAATCATGTGTGAATGTTTGTGAGCATACATATTAGTTTCTCCCTATGAATCTGTTTTTGTGTTAAATGTGTGAATGTTTGAGATTGTGTATCACCTGTAATTGTGTGTGAGATGTAAACATGTGTGAGATGCATATTTTACTGTATATATCGTGTGTAACAGTATGTATATATTTGGGGAAATGAATGAGTGGGGATATGGATCATTGTGGGTAACTGTCCTTGCCAGTGACTCGGAGTGGGTATAATTGTTCTCTAGTGGTGGACAAGATGGGGGGGGTCTAAGGTAGGGTGTGAGATACATTGTGGGGGTACCAACATCTGCTAAGAGTTCTGGAGTTATAGGTCCTTACCCAGCAAGCTGCAGAAGCTAGGGTACACTGAGTCAGGCTCCTCTGTGGTGCTCTAGCCAGGACTTCACAGCTCCCAGCACTGGGTGGGATCTGAATAGGTGACTTCTCAGGGACCTTCTGAGAGGCCCCAAATCACTCCAGTCAGGACAGCAGCCACAGTGCACAATATTTTTCATAACATCTAGTCCCTCTCCCCCTATCCCCACACACACACACACCCTAGACCAACCTCAGGTGCATAAAATTGCCTTGGGCCTGCTTTTGTGGGAGAAGCCAGGGGGTGGAGGGTCTGAGAACATACCGTTCTGGGGGAGTAGAGTGCGGAGATAGGAGGCTTTTTTGGGGTGTGGAAGAGGGAGAGAACTTTGTGGCTAGAAACCAGGGCGACTGCTGGTGCCTGAGCTTGAGGGCCATCTGGGGGCCAGGACCTGCAGGCTCTGGAGGGAGGGAAGGGATGTGTGTGTATGCAGAGCTGGGGTCGAGGGAGCCATGGAAACCATCAGAGAGCCACTGTCCTTCATCCCTGGACATGTCTTATGAAATGGAGTCAAAGAATAGCAGCCTCCCCGCTCAGAAGGCCAAGGGGGAGCTGGCTGTGGGGAGAAGAGACCGTGCTTCTTCATCCCTCCGCGGTGGCCCCCTCGCGCGGGCTCTCTGTAAGACAGAGCTCTGTGTCCAAAAATCAATCGTAGGCCAGCCTCTTGCCCCACCCCACAGGCCCCCGGGGGACCCAGGCCAGGCCCTGCCAGACTGTGTTGTTAACGGTGACATCTGTGGTGGGTCTCTGGCCTGCGGTGGCTGCGGCGCCCAGTACCCTGGCTGAGCGAAATCCGGAACGGCCTCCTGGAGCGGGGAAGGATTCGCCTCCTTCTGCCTGGACGGGTCTGGCTGCCTCCTCCCCTCTCCGGTCTGGAGCGTCCCAGCCGCACTTTTCCTTCTGTGAGGTCTCCTCCGTTCTGGCCTTTGTGACATACCTTCGTGCTTCAGAGTCGTGGGGCTTGGAGGAGACTGGGGCCTCCTATCAGCTCCCGGTCCCTGGAACCATACCTGCCCGCCCCTCGGAGAAGCTGCTGAAAATCCCGGGGGCTTTTCCTGGATATTTTCTGGCCTCAGACCGTCAACCTGAGGAGCTGAGGCAGGAAGGAGGGGCGGCTGCTAGGCCCAAACACAACGCCACCTCGCCCCCTGTCTTGCAAGACAAATGCAAGCAGCATTTTGCATAAGGCACCTCCTCCCCCAAATACCTCCCACCTCCTCATTTTCACAAATAGCTAGGGTTTGCACTCGTGGGGGGGGGGGGGGGGGACGAATGCTCAGCCCGGTGGCTCTCAGCTGGCCGGCTTCTGTTCAGTTTTCAGGGAAGTGGGCACCCCGCATGCCAGATCCCCAGTGCTGCTGCCCCCCACCCATGCCTATTGCGGGCACAGGCAGCTTCCCAGCCGCCCAGACCAGCCAGCCAGCCAGCCGACCTCCGGCCCCCGCTCCCCGCCCTCGCTGGTGGTCCGGGTCTCCCTTCCCAGAGGTACCAGGTCCCCGGGGCGCTGGGACTCTTGGCCTGAGGCACCGCGCCAGACTCCTCACTCTCCGCCAGGAATTCGTTGCGTCCGAATCTTGGCAAATCCCGCGTCCGCCGCAGTTGGCTGTGCAGCCGGGAAAGGCCAGGCTGCCACCGGGTCCGGGCAGAGGCAAGAGGAGAGGGGTTTCGGGGAGGCCACGGGCAGGGCCAATGCCCTGCAGCAGAGAGTCCATCCCTCAGGCCCGCCACGGGCCTGCCAGAGCAGCCGGTCTCTGTTCAAAAACAGAAAAGGAATTATCCGAATAATTGTGCGCAGCGGTGCAGGGAAAGAAGGGAAATGAACGAGCTGCCTGGGCGGAGGAGAGGCCTGCCTCCTTCCTTGGCTGGAGTAAGCCGATTGCACTGACCAAATTCCCAGAGTGAGCCCTGGGCACCCCGAGGGCAGGTTCAGGGGAGGCCCAGAGACTTGTGCAGGGCCGGGGTCCTGGACGCTGGGCTGTGCCTCCCGCGGCCCACAGAGAATCTGGCTCAACCTGTTACCCATAATAGCGGCTTTGTGCGGCAGTCTGTGCTGGGGGACCGAGGGCATGGCCTGAGCACGGCCTTGTAATGCCCCCCCAAGGAGGGGTTGGGAGGGGAGCAGGTACGGTGTTACCCTGTGCCCAGGACTCAGAAGGGCCTCGCTGGTGGTGTGAGTGACTCGCAGGTGGGTGAAACAGGTCCCAGGTGTGTGAGCCAAGAAAGCAGGGCCCTCCCTCCGGGCTGTGCAGAGCTGGGGCAGCTGGGAACGGGCAGCCATGCTGGGGAGGGAAGAAGCGGAGGCCTCAGGGCTGCCCTGAGGGCCCCTCAGGCCAGATGGGGGAGGAACGCCCTCCTTCCTGCTCCCCTCACCTCACACACTTCTCACTCCCCCGAAGTTCTGCTCCCAGGCAGCAACTCCCCCTCCTGGCACTCCCTAACCAGCTCAGAGTCTGGAGCCCACGGCCAGGCATCTGCCTGGGCAGCTAACGGGAAGATGGGGTGTGTGTGTGTGTGTGTGTTTGGGGATGGGGAGGAAGAGAGAGGAGTGGAGGGAGGGATGTTGTTGTGAGGGGTGGGTCCAAACTCACCCCCCCTCACCCAGCCTGCATTGTCTACAACCCCACACGCCTCCTCTGCTCGGGGTGTGCCTGTGACTCACGGGGAGCTACAGGTGTGCGGTGTAGGTACACACACGCACACATGCAATCTCCACTGCGGGTGTTTCTTTTCTTTTCTTTCTTTCTTTCTTTCTTTCTTTCTTTCTTTCTTTCTTTCTTTCTTTCTTTCTTTCTTTCTTTCTTTCAAAAAAATATATTTTATTGATTTAACACAGAGAGGAAGGGAGAGAGAGCCAGAAACGTCGATGAGAGAGAAACATCGACCAGCTGCCTCCTGCACAACCCCCACCATGCCCTTGACCAGAATCGAACTTGGGACCCCTCAGTCCGCAGACCGATGCTCTATCCACTGAGCTAAACCGGATTCGGCTCACCGCGGGTGTTTTCAATGCCTCTCACAGGCTTACCCCCTCAGGCTCCTCTCCCCCAGCTCCCACCCCTCCACGGGCACCCCTCCTCCGCTTTTTCCTCCTCCTCCTCCTCCTCCTCCTTATCCCTGAGGGAGGAGGGTCTAACTCCGCTGCCAGGGGGCCTGGGGGTGGGGACTGTCTAGGCGGCGCATTCACTCCCAGCCCCGCAGCCCCAGCGGCCACACGTCCCATGAGCTTGTGGCTGGGCTTGGGGGCCACGGACCCTAACAAGCCGGCACCGCCGCCGCCTCCTCCAGCCTACGCAAGCCCGGGCTCCTCCTGGGCGTACGGGAAGGTGGTGGGG